AGTGCTGGGTCCTCTTTGTTAGTTTAGTAAAGTGCTTTTATTCTTACCGTATTATTATTTTCATTGTAAGTTTTTAAAAACTTTTAGAATTTGATGGAGTTTAGTTAATTAGTTAATGGAAAAATATTGTTTACATTCATTTGAAGCACTCTAGCCACAGTTCTGTATCATTGCAGTTTTAGGTCTTTCTTGTATTACCAATTAATTTAAATGTAGATTTATGAACATTTACTGATTCAGTAGCCTTGATATTTGTTAGTTAGAAGTTCCGAGAAAATAGAAGCTGGATCGAAGAGTGCTAAATGAGGATTCAGAAACATAATTTTATGAATATTTTATATTAGAAAACTAAGTCTTTCTTCTCTGACTCTCTTCTCCATAATAGTTGATACTTAATATACAGAAAGGCCCAACACTTGAAAAAATATACATAAATGAAACAGGGGTAGATTAATATAATGATCTTTGTGGCCCATGGTATATAAACTTAAAACTTCGGGATATAGTCCTAACTGCAGGATTAGGCAAATAATGAATGTTAGCTTGCCTTTTACGAGGCCCTGTTTTTAGGAAACAGATTCAACTGATTTAGGTTCTGGTTCCAGCTCTGCTTCTCTAGTGTGAACATGAGAAAAAGTTAATCTCTGAGGTCTTCATCTATCAAATACATGCTGTGAGCTAATATTTATTGAGACATTGTTATATTATAGGAAGACATAGTCGTCCGTGTCCCCTAAGACTTGAGACACATGTGCCAGTAAGTAAGGACAGCTCAGTATTACAGGTACTATGAACAACTTCTTAGAGGAACGGACGCTTTAACCGATTCTTCAGACAAGAGGTGTCATCTCCAGGCAGAACAAGGACTAGAAGCAGAGGGCAGGGGAGGGAGAAGAGAGATTATTCAGGGGAGGGGTTCAGTAAAAGGACCAGAGCTCAGAAGCATGAACAAGATGCCTGGATCTGAGTGTGAGCCCAGTGCAATGAGACAAAGAAATAAGTAGCAACCAAATATTGAGGTTTCTGGTTTTTAATACTCACATTGACAGAAAGGAATGGGGCGGGGGGGAGTACAGGAGGGGCAAAGTGGTTAAAGGAGTCAAATACATGATAACGAAAGGAAACCAGACTTTGGGTGGTGAGCATACACTAGAGTATACAGATGTCGAAGTGTAATGTACACCTGAAATTTATATAATGTTATTAACTAATGTTACCTCAATACATTTCATTTTTTAAAAGTTTTGACTAAATGGGCTCTACTGTTCTATATAGCTTGGATTCTTATCTAAAATATTATTGGTGAACAATAATGGTTAATATGTTCTGATTAATTTAAGTGGTTCTTGAATTCATAGTGACAGCCAAATAATTAGACTGCAGGTTCCCTTGTATACCATTCGGCCTTTGTAACCATGTAAAGGTGGGATATAGAGTGCACATGCCTTTGGTCAAAATCACTCTCTTGCTACTTTGGCCTTCATGTTACTGCCTACCATTTTCTTCTTTCTTTTTTTTTTAATGAGGGAAAATTTCATATGCATAAAAGTAAACATAAGCCCTGGCCAGTTTGGCTCAGCGGTTAGAGCGTCGGCCTGTGGTCCTGAGAGACCCGGGTTCGGTTCCCGCTAAGGGCGCGTACTTCGGTTGCAGTTTGTCCCCGGCCCTGGTTGGTCGTGCAGGTGGCAGCCACTCGATGTGTCCCTTTCATGTCGATGTTTCTCTCTCTCTCTCTTCCTCTCTCTCCCTCCCACTCTACCTGAACAAAAAATGGAAAAATGTCCTCGGGTGAGGATAAAAAAAAAAAAAAAAAAAAAAAGTAAACATAATAGGGCAATAGACTTTCATTACTCAGCTTCAATAATAATCAACGTTCTTGTTTTATTTATTATTTTGCTCCCCACCCTTCATTCCATTATTGTTGTCATTATTGTTCTTACTATTTTTAGGTAAAATTTACATACATTAAAATGTACATATCTTAGATCTATGTTTTGACAGATACACCTGTGTAATCTACATCCCATCGCAATAGAAAACACATCTCCCTCCAAAATTCCCTTTTATCCCTTTCCAGTCTCTCCCCATCTCCACCCCACCTCCAGCTGGACACACACACACACACACACACACACACACACAGTCATTATACTTTTTTTTTTTTTTACCTTAGATTAGTTTTGCCTGTTTTAGAACTTATATAATGGACTCTCCTACGTGTTGTACTTTTTTGCTTCTGTCTTCTTGCGCTCAGCTCATTATCTGAGATTCATCCATGTTGTTGAGCTTATCAGTAGTTCCCTTCATTTTGCTCCACAGCATTCTGTTGTATGAATTTATTACAATTCATTATCCATTCTTTTGTTGAGGGACATTTTGGTTGTGTTTTGTGCCAGTCTCAGCATCTGAGTAGAAGTGCACTCACCTGGGCTCCGGTGAGCTTCCCACAGACAGCACCCCTTTCTAAACCATAGTTATCACCTGACTGAACCTTGTGGTTTTTAATTATGATTGCAATATGCCCTTTAGCAATCAGCATTAGGAAACGTGGAAGAAAAAGGAGTTTATTGCCTCTAGGATCTAGAATGAACAATGCACTTCAGTGGGTACACATATCTAGTTGTGTGTCTGGCAATGTATTTAAAGATAGCCTTTGTTGAAGCAGATGCCTCTTGGAAGTGGATGCCTTCCCAGTTAAATCTCGTCAGGCTCTTGACGTTATCAAAAGAAAAGCTTACTGTCTGGACTTACACTACAGATTGGTTCAAATTTTGTGCTAATGTGAAGAAGTTGCTATGAATTTTCTTGTATACATTGTTTCATAAACATTTTTTCATTTCTGTTGGATAAGCCCGTAGGAGTGAAATTATAAGGTCTAAGAATAGGTATATATATTTAACCTTAAAAAAAAAACCAGCCAATTTTCCAAAGTGGTTGTACCAGTAGCATATGAACACTGCTCTACATCCCTGCGCACATATGATACTGTCTGTCTTTAATTTTAGCCATTTTCATGAGTATGTAGTGGTATCTCATTGTGGTTTTTATTTGCACCCTGATGCCTAATGGTGAACATTTTTTCATGTGCTCATTGGTCATTCATGTATCTTAGTTTGTCTGTTAATAAACTCTTTTGCCCATTTCTAAAAGGGTTGTCTTTTGATTATTGAGTTACAGTTCTTCATGTAGTCTACATACAAGTTCTTCGTCAGATTTTCATTTTGTAAATATTTTCTCCCACTCTGTGGCTTGCCTGTTCGTTTTCTTAATAGTGTCTTTTGATGAGCAAAAGTTTTATTTTTGATTAAGTTATTAACATTTTTGGTTATAGCTTTCTATATCCTGTCTAAGAAATCTTTACATACTTTCAGATTGAGAATATATTCTCCTGTTTTCTTCTAAAAGCTTTTGTACCTGTAGTTTAGGATAATGGCCCATCCACCTCAAATTAATTTTTGTTATGGTGTGAAGTTGGAGTTGAGGTTCGCTTATTTTCATATAGATGTCCAATTCTAGTACCATTTGTTGAAAATACATTTTTTTTTTTGCTCTATTGAATTGCTTTGGTACATTTTTTGAAAAGCAGTTGTCCAAGTGTGGGTTTTATTTCTAAATTCTGTTTATTCCTTTGATTTACTTGTATATCCTCATATCAATATTGCTCTGTTGTGATTACATAGTAAGTCTTGCTCTGTCGTGATTACATAGTAAGTCTGGAGATAAGGTAGTATAAGTAGTACAACTTTCTTGTTATTTTCCAAGGTTCTTTTGGCTATAGTAGGTCCTCTGCATTTCTTCATAAACTTTAAAAATTACCTTCTTCATTTTTATTATAAAGCCTGCTCGGATTATGCATTATAAATTGTTTTGGGGGAGAATTCAGTTCTTAACAATATTGAACCCATGAACATGGTATATATATTTCCCCATTTATTTAGGCCTTTTAAAATTTCAGCAATGTTTTAGTTTTTAGTGTGGATATTTTGCATGTCTTTTGTTAAACGTGTTACTAAGTATTTTATTTTTGATGCTATTGTACATAGGTTTTTAAATTTTAGCCCTGGCCGGTTTGGCTCAGCGGTTAGAGCGTCGGCCTGCGGTCCAGAGAGACCCAGGTTCGGTTCCCGCTAAGGGCACGTACCTCGGTTGCAGTTTGTCCTCGGCCCTGGTTGGGTCGTGCGGTTGGCAGCCACTCGATGTGTCCCTTCACATCGATGTTTCTCTCTCTCTCTCTCTTCCTCTCTCTCCCTCCTGCTCTATCTGAACAAAAAATGAAAAAATGTCCTCGGGTGAGGATAAAAAAATAAAAAAAATAAAAAAAAATTTTGTCCTGCTAGTATATAGAAAGACAATTGATTTTATATTAATCTTGTACCCTGAGACATTATTACACTCACCAAGTTTTTAACACACAGCTCCTGAGTACCATTGACTTTCTTTCCTTCATGTTTTAATATGACTTTTTAGATCTGAATGTCCTTGTCTCTTGTGTCTGCCCCCAAAGAGGACCAGTGTGAATGCCTTGGCATTTGGGAAGTCTTTTGACTTCACAGTTGGATTCAAATAGTTCCTCCTAGGAAAATCTCTATTAGAGCATTTTTTACTTTCAGTCTTGAATGAGTCATTCTTTGAAGTCAAGAGTTGTGCTTTATCTCAGTTTCATCCCCACAATACGTAGCACAGTGCCTTTGTTCACAGTTGAGGAGTACATCTTTCCAGCATTTATCTCAGGAGGTAGAGGGAATTATGTAGCTCTGGAGTGGGGTAGGGTAGAGTAGGGGGAAATCCTTAGAGGCAACTTTAAGCAATTGGAAACAATCCCTGAAGTGTGTCTTAGAAAGAGAAAATAGACATTTTATCAAAAACATACCATGTGTCTTGCTATTTACAGATATGTTTGCTCGTGGATGACCTGCTACACTCTAAATGACTTAGGCTTTTGCTGTCAGTTTTGAATTTCTATAAATTATATTTCTTCTTCCTTCCTTCTTGTTTTCTAGGTGGCTGACTGTGCTTGGGATGAAACAATAAAGATATATGATCCTGTTTGTCTTACCGTGCCCGCCCAAGACACCCTGCTGTGGTCAGACACAAAGAGCTAAAGAACTACTTAACAGGAAATAAACTATTGATAACAAAGTCTTTATGCTTTTATATGCTATTCAGATTTAAATTTTAAAAATTTACCCTGAATCAGTTGATAAAGACTTTGGCTCACCATTTAAGCCTGACACATAAGCCATATTTCTTAACATCCTAAGGAATAATTGATGTTAATGGTATATCTTACAGTATCTGTTAAAATGTAACCTCTATGTTATAAAAAGGATGAAAAGATAAGAGTTTCATAGTTTATATAGTTAGGGATATATTTCATTTTGAATTTGTCGTTATTGATGTGAAATATAATCACTGCTGTTAATAAAAATCAAAACTGCATTTCTTGATCATTTATGACATCCCCAGCAAGACTGCTTTTTCTAATGTCATATATATGGATACAATACTGTATATAATGTAGATATATCTTTGATTTAGTAACAGGGCTCTAATATAGATTTAATATATTTAGTAGTTATTTATTGTGCAGCTACTATATGCTTGACACAGACTGAATGGGTCTCGGGGACAGTTTCCATGCTTTAAGAAAATGGGATGCTATGAGTTGCTTGACACAGACTGAATGGGTCTCGGGGACTGTTTCCATGCTTTAAGAAAATGGGATGCTATGAGTTGAGCTATTTTTTTTTTTTTTTTTTTTTTTTTGCAGTTCTGCAAATCTTTTTAGATAATAGGTCCATGGCCCTATATTTCTCTCTTCCTACTTCTCTACTATCAAATGTTAAAAAACAACAGTCACCAATAAACACTCGTTACTGGGCAAAAAGTCTTAGGTCCTACTATGGTTTCAAGCAATTACCCTGGAAACGAGCCCTAAATAATGCTATAAACCTCTTCACTACCTCCCTGTCTCCTTGAAAAATCTCTAGGTGTTGATGGCCTGTTAAAAAGTAGGATAAAAGGGGAAAATGAGTAAAACAAACAACTTTGCATAACATTTATATTTCTATATAATATTAAAATAAAATGCATTACAAATGGCAAAAATTGTCATTAAATTTTGAGAATTTTAAAAAAGCAAAATAGTAATCAGAACAAAAATAAATTACTATATATGTATATTGTCTAATTTACATATTTCTTTGTTTACTTATTCCAGAAAAAATTGAAGACAGCTTATAAAATAAAGAAAAAATGAGACCACATAAAATTAGAATGAAAGGAGCCAGGTGGAGCCAGGTGGAGCCAGGAGTAGGGCTTGAAAATGTCAGGGTTTCAGAAAGTTGCTACTGGCAGCATAAATGGGAAGCCAGGTCAAGTCCACAATTTAATACTGAAGGCCTGGACAAGAACTTGGTCCTAGTCCTGGGCTTGGCCCTAGCCAGCATCGTGCCTAGTACATAGAAGGTGCTAAATAAAGATTCATTCAATGAATGAAAGGACTCAGGGAAAGTACAGCTCTTTTTAGTGCTTAGACAAATCAATACTAATTGTTTTCGAGAAGCCCCATAAAGAGGACACTGCTTAACATGAATGTATTGTAAGGAACAAGCAGCTCAAACATCCTTAGAGCTAGCTGTCAGGATGATGAGATTCATAGAGCTGTTTCTTGTTGCTTCCCTCCACAAGAACTAATGGCATCACACCAAGTGCAGTTCAATAAAAGCAGGTTCACAGTGGGTGTTCTCCGTATCAGCAGAATTTATAATAGACCTGTAAAATACCTACCCCAGATCATAGTTATAATTAACTAAAATTACTTATTTTCCTGTTAGAATGCAAGAGATTTTATTAACATAATCTACCATGTATCTTTTGAGAAAAATATTTGTGATTCAGAAACTAAAATTTTTCTTGACATATTTTTCTCCTCTATTTGGGGGATGTTAGAGATGTTTATTATACTAACTTCATAAAATGAGTGTGGATGAACATTTGTCTAGTAGGTTCCCTAGAGATAAAGATAGATTGGAAAACTAGAAGGAAAGGGGCTGGATTCTCTCTAGGAAGAGAATGGGCAAGATTTTTGAATTCTTGGTAGTTCACAAGCTAAGCGGCCTCTGAATTTTAAGAAGACGAGTCATTCCTTCCAAGCTGGGAAAATGCATCTGTCTCCTGGCTACTGAGCTCTTAGGGTTCACCCTTCCTGTCTCCCCAGGCTCCCCTGCACCTGCAGTAACAGCACCAAGGAGTGAGTGCAGGAGAAGGGAACACGGGTCACTAAGCATCTTCTGTGATCTGGGCACTAGATGAGATACTTTCTGTATGTTATCCCTTTTAATCTTTATAATGTCCCTGTAAGGAAGCCCTCCAGGTTTTCCAGACAAGGAAGCAAAGTCTCTCAGGAGTCATAATACCCAGGAAGTGTGGAGCTGGAATTTGAAATCTGCTATAACTGCATCCAAACCCGTGGTTCTGCCACATTGCCTCCTGTTCCTCGGAATAACAGAAATCAGCCCACTGAGAAATAGTCAAGATGAGGAACTCTCTGGTGACTACATCCTGATCATTCCTGAGAGAACAGACAACATGAGTTTCCAAAGCCTAAAGAGCTAAGAAGCTGACCCTGGGTCTGGAATGACTCGCCCAAGGTCTGCCACCCACTTTGGCATTTTTAAATTTCATATCTTAGCTATGATTTGGCTCTTCCAAAAATAAACTAATTAATTTCCTACTTAACAGGACTTTTCTTGGATGAGATAATCTACTTAAATGTTTTTTACTTCCAGATATTACTGGATACTTCCAAATCTGTATCTCCAGCATTCTCCACCTGGGTCTCCCACAAGCCTTTGCACTCATGTTCTTCTAACCAAACTCATCTTGCTCAATAAACCAGCCCCTCTCTTACACATGCTTTCTTCTTTTGTTGCCATACTGTCCACTGGGGCACTCAAGCTAAAGACCTAATTGCCATCCTTGTTCCTTCCCATTTTTCCACTTCTTCACTCCAAGACATATCAGATTATGTCAGTAAGTCCTGTCCCTTTTGCCCCCTAAATACTTCTCCATTCTGTCTCTTCCCCTCCATCCAACCAGCACTGCCCCAGTTCAGGCCATCATTAGCTTTTCTTCAGAAGGTCCCAGCAGCTTCCTAAGTAATGCATCTTGTTTCTTGTTCTGTCCCCTTAGAGCCATCCTTTTCAACAGAGCTGCTGGAGATGGATCCAAATCCAATCCGATTACCCCGATTTCAGTATCAAACCTTTCTATGCTTATAGGATTGCCTACAAGAAAAAGTTCAAACTCACTAAACAGACAGCCAAGGTGCTTTGGGGCGAGCTGGCTCTCTCATCATTGCTTCTCTCCCCATTGTCACACACTCAGAGCGTCAGCAACACCAGCATGCTCACAGACTCCCTGTGTTAATGTAAGTGTTCACTTCTCTCTGCTCAAGTTAGTCCAGTGCCTGGATAGTCCTGCTCTTGGCTGAGCAAATTCTTACTCATTATTTGAAAGTCATGTGAAATGACTAAAGAAGGAGATTGACAAACATACAAAAATTAAAATAGTAAAATACACCATTAGCAAAGCTGAAGGACAGAAGACATATTGGAAGGATATATTGGTAGCATATCGAATAAATGGTTATCCAGAGTTGATAAAGAGCTCTTCAAAGTCACTAAGAAGACAAACATAAAAGTTTGTCCACTTTTATCAAGAGACATTCATAGATGTAGAAATGCAAATGTTTAATACACTTCAAAAAGATACTCAGACTTGGTCTTATAGAAGACAAAGAAATGCAAATTAAAATGAAATATCATTTTTGCCTATCAGTTTGGCAAACATAAAATATTGCTAATATCCACCCAGCCAGTGTGGCTCAGTGGATTGAGAGTCATCCCATGGACTGAGAGGTTGCGGTTTGATTGCCGGTCAGGGCACATGTGCCTGGGTTTCGAGCTCAATCCCCAGTAGGGAGTGTGCAGGAGGCAGCCAATCAATGTATCTCACATCGATGTTTCTATCTCTCCCCCTCTCTCTAAAAAAAGAGCAATAAAAACACTTTAAAAATATTGATAATATCCAATAGTGGTTAAAGTAAAAGCACTGTATTATACTTTTTTACAAGGCAATTTGATATATAAGACTTAAAATTACCTGTTGACCCAATAGTTCCTTTTTTAGGATTCCCTGCCTGTGCTGCCCTCCCCTCCCTCTCCTACACCCCACCTTACCCCCCATAATTAATTACAGAAATACTTAAGTTCAATTGTCCTTCAATTGAAGTTCAAAGATATTCACTACATCATTGCTTGGTAAAACCTAGATACCTGTCTACAGGAGAAAGGTTATACTATAGAGGAATCGTTTAAAATAATAAGGTAAACTATGAGGCCTGACATGGGAAAATACATTTCTATTGCTATGTATATTAGTTATCTATTTCTGGGTAGTAAATCACTCCAAAATTTAGCATCTTAAAACAAGAAACATTTATGCATCTTACAGTTTCTATAGGTCAGGAATCCAGTAGTGGCTTAGCCGGGTGGTTCTGGCTAAGGTTTTCTCATGACACAGCAGATAAGCTGTCACCTGGCTCTCAGACATCTGAAGCTCCACGGGGCTAAAGGATCAGCTTCCGAAGTCACTCACATGGTTGTCACCAGGTCTTAAATACTCACCATGTGGGACCCTCCGTCGGCTGAGTGTCCCTACAACATGGGATCCGGCTTCTCCCGGACTGAGTGATAGAAGAAAAAAAGAGAATTCAAGATGGAAGCCTCAGTCTTATAACCTAATCTCAGGAGTGCCAATGTCACTTGTGCTGTCTGCTGCTGGTTACACAAACCAACCCTGGTACTGTGTGTGAAGGGTTAACCAACGGTGTGATTACCAAGAAGTGGGAGATCTTTGGGGACTATCTTGGAGGCTGGTTACCACAATTTTCATTTAAAAATAGCAAATTATAGACAAATGGGTGTTATACTTATATTTTTTTAAAGGGGATTAATGTATGTATAAATATATATACAAGAAAAATTGTTTGGCTCACACCAAACTTAACATTAGCCAGCTCTGTGTGGTGAGGTTGGTATGGGTTGGGGGTGGGGAATATTGAAAATAGCATGTTAACTTATTTATAAAGTTTGTTTTCCTTTTATATACTATAATGAGCATGTGCTCTTTTTACAATTAAAATAATGAAATAAGACTGTATTTCCCTCTGCAGGAAGCCTTCTCTGATACTCCATCAAGCTTGTTTTATTGCCCTCCTCAGTGTTTTTCTGTTTCTGCCATTAGACCCCACTGTTGCATGAGCATCTTTGTGTTGCCTCACCTCCACCTGTGAACCCTGAGGACTAAGATGAGTGCTACTCTTTGAATCCTCTGCGGCTAACACTGCATAGCACAAAATACTGTGTATATTTGTTGAATGAATTCATGTAATGCCATCAGTATTTACTGAGTGGCTCCAAAGATAATCAATCTTGAATCTAGACCCTTGATACCAATAAGTCAGATAGCTTTTTGACCTTCAGATCAACATTCTTGTTTAATTATCCTTGCTAAACACAGTATTCTTATTTCTCTCATTTTTCTTTGGGAGCATATCTAGTAACTGGTGTGGGAGATGATATTAATTTTTTTAAAAAAACAAGAGCCCTAATGGAAAAAAATTAAATGCAATAAAGTAGAGAGAATGTACTCTGTTTCATGCCAATGTCGGTTTCAAATATTAAGCTAAATATTCTTGCCTAAATGAGAAGGGTAGGATAGCTGAATCAGCCCCAAATCATTTACCTAATGTTCATATCACAAATGGAAGCAATTATAATTGCTGGCAGAAATGAATCACTCCAAAACTAGATCTTTGCAGACAATGCCTTATTATATTCACTTAAGATGGCTTAAAGCAACCATCCTTTAATTGCAATGGTCCCTAGAAGCAGAGATCTGTTATTTACTTTAAAAAGTTAATTTTCAGAGAGATTTTTTATCTGAGTGTACTTTGAATATATGCTTATAACACACACACACACACACACACACACACACACACACACACTTTGAACCGTTGCTTCAGACTTAATTATTTTCTAAAGAAAGAACATCAACATTTGAAAAACAGAGCCTTGAAATAGCCAATAGTGTGTAACCTGAGCTTTTAGCAACACAATTCAAGAGCTCTCCAGGGCATCCAGAGCACCGGTTTTGGTGTGATGTTTTCCAGAGTTATTCCTGGAAAGTTGGCGGTGTGGTGGGTCATTCGCAAACATTTTGAGTGCCCGCCTGTCGGAGGCTGGGAGGTTCCCTACTGGGTGCTCAGCTTTGGGTTAGAGGTTTGTTTGAGACCGAGCTCTCGCTCACCAAACTGAGCTCCCAGCACATACAAAGCTGGCCCAGATGAAGGACATCAGTGGTGCTGCCAATCCCAGATGTAAACTTAGTTTTCTGCTTGGATAATAATCAGGGCTTCCATCTGAGCTAGAAGTGTCTTGTTCGGCACAGAGGTGGAAAGATGGAGGACAAAAAAGAACCACAGAGAAGTGGATCTTTGATGTAGGGCAATGTGGCGCAGCGTTTAGAGGTTAGGAGGTTGTGATGCTGGTGAGGCGGGCGCGCGGCATGGCTGGATAAGAGAAGTGAACGAAAGGAGGGGTGGAGGGCAGCCATCCCGAGCTCTCCCTGGCACCCGAACCCTGACCAAGTCTATCCTTCAGTAGTGCGAAAACCAAACTGTGTCTGGCTCTTAACGGTGACCTCAGCTGAGCGAACTTCGCTAGTACTGAGTACGGATCCGGGAGTCACTTTCCAGGGACCGAAATTCAGATAAAGGGGCCACAAAAGTCTTGCGCTGCAGAAAATAAGCATTTTCTTGTTCTCTTAGCCAAACGGGAAGTAAACAGTTCACAAGTCCTGCAGGGCACAGAGGTTCCCTGCCCCGGAAGGTAGGAGTTAGGGGTTGTCCTGCTCATCAAAGGGGCTCACCAGGTTCCCAGGATCCGGAGAAAACTACACCTAGTCTCAGCTCGGTCTGGGTCCCAGTTCCTGCCCCCGCCATGCCCTCTCTACCCCCTCCCCCAACTCCCCAGCGGGGCCAGGGGCTCCCAGCCCACCCCCGAAGCACCGGCGCCCAGGCGTTCCCTGGAGCCAGTAGAGGCCACTCGCTCCAGACACCTAGTTTCTGCTCTCGCTCATCTCACATCTTTGCCTCACTTGGAACACGTGCCCCTGCTCCCGCCCCAGGCTCCACAGACGGGCAAGGAAGGGTACTGCGCCCCCGGAAGCTCCCCCAGAGCCGCGCGAGTAATTCCAGGTCCCTCCCTGGAAGGCGCGACAACAGGGTGAGCGGTGCGCCGAAGCGGCGTCCTGGGCCGTGGTTTCCCCCAGTGTTGGGGGGTCAGCACCCAAATCTAGAGCACTGAACTCCGCAGCCCGCTGGCACCGACTTTGTTCCCTCCCTGGTCGCCAGCAGGGACCGTCGGTGGAAAACCCACTGCAGCACTGAGGGAAGGAGGCTGGGGCGCTGTCACTTGTTGCGGCTAATAAATAGTGTTGGACCCTGGGGCGCTGTTGTTTCTAAAATTTTGAGCTGTGCCTGGGATCCCCCAACCTGAGTTCCTTGACTAGGACCCGGGACGAAGGGGCCCGGAGCAGCTGGCATTGCAGGAGAGGGGGCCGCGCCCCGAGTCCGCTCGGGTGGGCGCTGGGTGCTGGAGGCGCGCGGGTCCGGTCCGGTCCGGCTTGCGGCAGCCGCCCAGTGTCCAGCCACTTGGTCCTCCTTGATGGTGAAACCACGCGGGACACAACCCATCGCAGCTCGTCACCTGCTTACAAATTGCTGTCGCTAGGATTCCCGCCACTCCTCTCAGTCCAGCCCCCACCCCCACCCCTGCCACTTTTCGGAGTCCCCCGCCCCCGTCACTGCCGAGCTGCGGGGCAGTCGGACTCCAAGCCGCCGAGCTGCGAGGACGCCTGGCTGGAGCTGCCCTCTGCAGCTGAGCCGGCGCCCCCTGCCCTTCGCCCACGGCGCTGGGCTGGCACCCCCGCCGCCCTCGCTCCGCTCCTCCCGGCTCTCCTCCCTGTTCTCCTCCCGCAGGTCCCGGAGCTCCTCCACCGCCGGGTGCGGCGGAACCGGCGCGATGCGGCAGCTGTGCCGGGGCCGCCTGCTTGGCATCTCGGTGGCCATCGCGCACGGGGTCTTCTCGGGCTCCCTCAACATCCTACTCAAGTTCCTCATCAGCCGCTACCAGTTCTCCTTCCTGACCCTGGTGCAGTGCCTGACCAGCTCCGCGGCGGCGCTGAGCCTGGAGCTGCTGCGGCGCCTCGGGCTCATCGCCGTGCCCCCCTTCGGCCTGAGCCTGGCGCGCTCCTTCGCGGGGGTCGCAGTGCTCTCCACGCTGCAGTCCAGCCTCACGCTCTGGTCCCTGCGCGGCCTCAGCCTGCCCATGTATGTGGTCTTCAAGCGCTGCCTGCCCCTGGTCACCATGCTCATCGGCGTCCTGGTGCTCAAGAACGGCGCGCCCTCGCCGGGGGTGCTCACTGCCGTGCTCATCACCACCTGCGGCGCTGCTCTAGCAGGTGAGCGGGACCCGCGCCGACCCCCAGCCCACCCCGGCCCACGGGCAGAGACCGCAGGGCTGACTAGTGCAACGTCCTCACTTCCAGCTGGGGAGACCGAGACAGGCGGGCGGAAGCTTTGAATGTGGTTGCTCAGCTCGGAACGCGACTTCTGAGACCCAGTGGAGCCTTCCCCGTGCTCCAACCTCCCCTTTCAGAACCCCCGTCTTGGTTTTGCCCCCCCCTGCCCCTGCCTCACCCCGCATCCTCCTTCCTGCCACCCCTGTCCCCCTTCACCCCTTCCTTCCTCGGGGATGGGTGGGAGAGCCGCCGGAGCCCGGGAGCTGGAATCCCCAGACCAAGCCGGAAGGAGGGGGCCGTGAACTTCCTTGGGTCACGCGGGGCTGGAGTGGGGGTTGGGGGCGATGGGAGCGAAGCTTGAGCCACTCAGGCTAGTGTGAGGTCTCTGGCACCTCGCGAGGGTGGGCGGCTGCGGGCGCGAGGCAGCACGAGCTGGATTGAGACCCACGTGGGTTTGGCCGACTGAGTGAGATGGGAGCTGGCGGGGGTGAGAAAGTTTTTGGGGTGAGGGGGTCGATCTTTACCCCGCGCCCGGCCTGCCAGGGTTAGAAGCTACTAGCTGGGGATCCCTTTCCCTTCTGGCACCCCACGGAGGGGGCAAGGACACCAAGCACCTGGTAACCTCCGTGCCAGCTTTGAGAGCCACTGCGTCTTCTCCCAGAGCATCGTCTGCGCTCTCCCGGCCTCTGTCTCGGACAGAGAGAGACATAGTGCCCCGGGGACGTGGCAGGGAAGGCGCCTCTCCTCGTGACTCTCAGTGGGCACTGACTGACCATTTTATACCCGTGGGCAGAGCAAGGGCAGGAACCCCGTCTACTTTCCAGCCCGACGCGCATCCCTAGTGGATAGCCACCCGCGCCAACCTGCTGTCTTTTCTTTTTCCTTCCTGTCCGGGCTGTGCTGTCCTTCTCGTGCGCCTCAGGAGCCGGCGACCTAACCGGCGACCCCATGGGCTACGTAACAGGAGTGCTGGCCGTGCTGGTGCACGCCGCCTACCTGGTGCTCATCCAGAAGGCGAGCTCGGACACGGAGCACGGGCCGCTCACCGCGCAGTATGTCATCGCGGTCTCCGCCACCCCGCTGCTGGTCGTTCTCTCCTTCGCCAGCACCGACTCTATCCACGCCTGGGCCTTCCCCGGCTGGAAGGACCCAACGATGGTCTGCATCTTCGTGGCCTGCGTTCTGATCGGCTGCGCTATGAACTTCACCACGCTGCACTGCACCTACATCAACTCGGCGGTGACCACCAGCTTCGTGGGCGTGGTGAAGAGCATCGCCACCATCACGGTGGGAATGGTGGCCTTCAGCGACGTGGAGCCCACCTCTCTATTCATTGCCGGTGTCGTGGTGAACACCCTGGGTTCCATCATTTACTGTGTGGCCAAATTCTTGGAGACCAGAAAACAAAGCAACTACGAGGACCTGGAGTCGCAGCCCCAGGGAGAGGAGGCGCAGCCAGGTGGAGACCAGCTGCCATTTGTCATAGAGGAGCTGCCGGAGGAGGGTGGAAATGGCCAGCCAGAAGGTGGGAAGGCAGCAGGTGGCTCCGCTCAGCAAAGGGGGCAAGAGGCGAGGGGCAGCCCCAGAGGAGTCCCGCTGGCGGCTAGTAGCAGGCAGATTTCAGACAGCCCTGAAGAAGCGAGCAAGAGGTCATTAAAGGATGCTTACCTGGTAGTGTGGAGGTTAGTCAGGGGAACCAGGTATATGAAAAAGGATCATTTGATAGAAAATGAGGAGCTACCCAGTCCTTGAAAAGGAAACGCATGTATGTATATATGTACATATATACTTATTTTATATGTTAGAGATAACATATTTTAATGAGGGGCCACCCAATTTTATTCTTTGAGAAGTGGGGCAGGGAAGCAAAGAAAGAATCTGAATCAGAATGACAGCAACAAAATCAGGTGTGAATTATTTAGCATCAGTTTATCTGAGGCATCACAAAGACAAAAGAATGTCCAGGTGCTTAACAAAATAAGACAGCAGTTTCAGCTGCAGACTCCTGGCACATTTTTTTTGACATTATAACCATAACCAAATATCTGCATGTACCGAGTCCCTCAACCGCCCCCTCCAAAGATGGAGTATAGAAATGATGGCAGCATGTAATAAGCTCAAAGATTACATCCAGGTGCACATTTTTGATGATAGAACTAGTTTTTTTATGGCCAGATGGGCAAAGAGTATATTATTGAAAAGATAATATAAATACACCGAATTGATGTTTACTGTTTATAGTCATCTGAAATATCATGTTTACTCTATTTTTTCTTCACTTGTTTTTAAAAAATAAGTGCTCTACTATTCTATTATATATTGATAAGAAATGTCAAAGCTATTTTGAAAATGTGAGTTCTTAGCTTTAATTATGAAGTTGAACTTTGGCTTTTAGTAATTACTATAAAAATATTTTAAAAGTTGTTTTGGTTCACTGCTTTATAATATTTATTAATGAATGCCATGACCTTTTTAAAAACCAGTTTTACTGTGTCCAATATACTTTCAAGCAAATGCAATAGCTGAAATAGAATTCAGTATTAAGAAGCCCAAACAGAAGGGAAGCCTTTGTTAAGCTAGTCCTTGAAATGGCATTGCACACCCCAAACCATGTTACAAAAAGAGCAACTGCTATATTCACTTGATAGTTTTTCTATCTTAAATTTGTCAAAATAAAGTATGAGTCTATCTGCTAAAAGACATATTGTTAGAAACTTGTTTGAGACACATTTATGTTCTATTGTTTCGGTGTAGTTTGTGTTTGTCTTCAGTGTGTAGTGTCTAGTATCTAGTTCCCCTTGGGAACTTCCAAAATTAACATGGTGGTTTAGTTTAATACAACAGAAACACTCTCATTTTCCAGTCAAGGAAACTGTTATGAAGTAAAATAAAATACTGCCTCAAGCTGCAGGATGAAAGCCACCCACAGCTGACTTCAGTTCCTTTGGAGTTTGAGACGGAACATAGAGTCTCCTGGTCAGCCCCATCCAGGAGAGGTCCTTGGACAGTAAAAGCACTCATTACTTGCCATTATGTACCTGAGACTCTCCGTTGGTAGCATTATATATATATAATTTTATTTTCCCCAAATCCAAACAAAACAAAAAGCAGAAACAGAAGTGATGTTTCAGCTTCATCGGTTTGACTCCGCCAAGCTGGTGAGCAAGTGGGATTGTGGTGGTTTGTGATTGGTCCTGGTTTACTGGTTTTTGCAGAGATTTGATTGTTTCCAGAGGTACCTCTCTAAGCCCTTTAATATCTAGGAGCCCTCGTATCTAGGAGACTTCATTTAGAAATAGTTGGCTAGGGTTACAATGACTTCTTTAAAAAGAAGCATTTATGTTCATTAAGGAAATTAATGAGAATTAATGAAAGCAGGAAAGTTGAATGAAGTATATATTTGTTAATACCAATGTCAGGTAAATGCATAGAATGATTGTTTTTCACTGGGAAAAAAAATTCCTTTTTGTTAAAACTGGGGGTTTGTATTTATTGCAAAATGATGAAGTCCTTCCTGTCGACAAACGTGTGCAGGCACTGTATCAGCTGAGTTTTCCGGAGAAATAGAACCAAGATAATTGGGCCTCTTTAAGAACTTCTGCTTAGATAGAGTTTGACACACCGCATCTCCTTCCGCTCTAACCCACTATTATCGTACTGGAGCTCTGTTGGTGTGCCGGGGAGTAGGGGCGGGCAAGGGTTCCATAATCTTATTATTGCTGCTCAGTCTTTTAGTGGCCTGTGTCCCTGGGCTGTGATATTCACAAGTGTTTCTTAGCCTTTCTTTTTTCTCCCCTTAGATGAGTTAGGAAGACCAGAGGGGTCTGGAGTGGAAGAAATGTGTCTCCCCAGAGTGGGATACGGCCCTGGGAAGGCTTTTTCCCTGGAGAGTAGGTCTTCATTATGGGGAACCCTCTCTGTATTTCTCAATGATTACTCTTTTCCCAGAGTGCCAGGGTTCCCTGGAAGTCAACTCGTGAAAATGTGGGTGCCCCAGGAGTTTGTCATTCTCATGATATTCCATGTTCAGCCTCCCGAAATTTATCAAATTTACCACTTAAGTGTTTATGCCAATGTATAGCTCAGGTGGCTTCTGTTCCCAGGTAAGGAGGTCTTTATTACCTTTCTGGATTCACCTGTCTATCCAGATTTGGCCTGGGTGAGGTGGGGGTAGAGGAGTGTGTGGGGGGAATATTACCCTGAGTCCTAGAAAAGTTGCTGATTTTCAGGTAATTTATCTTTTTCTTCTTGTAAGAATGGGAGTAACAACTTCCAAGCTCTTTACATATTGAAACTGGAACTAGAAGTTGTGGCTGAAGACTTTTGGAAAGCCCGCTTGATTTCTGTCAAGACAGAAGCTGTGAAGGAAAGCTAGACATTCCTAAGGAAGTTTCCAACAGAAAATACAAGCGGCCAAAGCTACTGGCCCTTCTTGTAACTCCTGCCCTCCCACACCTCATGTCGAGTGCCGGCCACGCCTGCACCAAGTGTGATATATGCGTGAGTGTGGGCAACTTTTGAGTCAAAGCGCATTGTGAGCAGGAGTCAAGGCGCACTGAAATTGGTTTGCCGGAGTGGCTGTCCCCCCTTCTCTCTTGGGGTGCTTCACTTCTGCATAACAGAAATCTCTTCTATTTCTGAAAAAAAAATTTTTTTTTACCATGTTCCAGCTACCTGCTATGACACCCATAAGTTTCATGTTAACCTCCAGCGGTGACTGCTGACCTGACTCACCAGTTGCTTCCATCTCTAGATACCGTGGTAGGTCAGCCAGGCTGGACTGCATCACAGCATCTGCTGAAACTGTACCCTCTCCCTGGCCACTCTCTGCCCCTGGTTCCCCACCCCTTACACACGTAACAAGTATTTCTGATTCTGGATATATTCCTCTCTGCATCTGCTTTGTCCTGCTCCCGAGGTAAAACTGCAGAGTTCAGAGAAGAGCCTGTGAACAGAACATAGACTAGCAGGACCCAGAACTAGTAAACCTCCCTGACCCACCTTGGAGAACCATCCCCTCCCCATTTCTGAGTTCATGTGTTCAGATAGTGTTGACTCTATCCTTCCACCCTTAGTGTTTGACTCCAGCCAATCCAATGAAAGCGTTTCTTCTACTTGGAAACTCGGTTAGTTCAGGCATGGTCATGGGACCTGGTCATGCCAATGAAGTGTAAGGATACTTTGGCAAGATTTAAGTTGCATTTTTTTTTTCCTTTTATTGATTTTAAAAAGAGAGGAAGGGAGAGGGAGAGAGAGATAGAAACATTGATGAGCAAGAACATCGACTGGCTGCCTCCTGCACATCCCCTCACTGGGGATTTGGCCCACAATGGGGGCATGTGCCTTGACTGGAAATCGAATCAGCAACCTTTTGGTGCATGGATTGATGCTCAACCACTGAGCCACACCGGCCGGGCATATTTTTTTTCTTACTGAACTTGAACCTAGGAAGATGGGGTGAAGTGGGGCAGAGAGGAGGACCAGGAAGGGAGAGAGAGAGAACAACTGAGTCCTGGTGAGCTCACCTGACCCTGGTATTAAGCTGACTTTCACTTAGTTAGCATTCTCCTCAGATTGTCAGTTACATAAAACAGTCTTTTGTTGTTATTTGTTTAAGGCGTTTTGAGTTCAGATGTCTACTGATTGCAACCTGAAGAGCCCCAAGTGACACAGACATAAATGAATGGTTCTCAGCGAGCAGGGTGGGGTGAAGGACCAGAAGAGGTTGTTTGTTTGTTTAGTTTTGATTTTGATTTTTACCACACAAGTTGTTGTCCCCTGCACCCAGCTAGGGATTAGCCATGCTTCCCTGGTCTCTTGCAAATTTCCACTCAGCCATGTATCACCCATGGTCTTAAACAACCCATGGTTTTACCTATTGTCTTTTATTTCAGTTTACAATTCAGTTGATTCCTACATTCATGCTTCACAAATTCACTAGATATCAAAGGAATGTTGTGTATTGTTAAAAATAATAATACCCAGAGGTTATTATTATAGTGCTTGCCATATGCAAATCTGTGTTTTTATATGTACAAATTCATGTACTTCTTTTTTTAATATTCATATATTTATTCCAAAAACATATAAACTCATCTTTTTAGAGACTAGAAAGCAGAAATTTCACTCAGTAACACACCCAGCTCACCCTGCCCCACATCTACTAAAACAGTTCCCTGGGGCAGGGATGAGTATCACCACTTTTCTATAGGTTGGCGTTCATGTTATCCCGATCGTACAAGGGGTAGGCTGGAGGATGGAGAGGCTCAGGAACTTGCCCCGGTCTCACAGCTGATACTCTGGAGATCTAGGGTCTGACCCGAACCCAGGTGGCCTGTCTAGGGCCCGTGTCCTCACTCGGCTGTCTGCCCGAGAGCAGCTCTCGGTCGGACACCGGAGAGCCGGAGCTGATGACGTGGAGGCAGGCGGCTCCAGGCCTGTCAGGCCTGCCACTCGGCCAGGGCTCAGGCTCCAGCCATCGTCCCTTCCTGCTGTTCTCAGGGTGGAAAGGAAACCGCTTTATTTCTAGAAACACCCATACGTGTGTGGGAATCGTTTTCTGTTTGTGAGCACCCGGGACCCAGGAAGCTGTGGACGTACCACAGACGGCGGAGCAGAGAAAGGGGCACAGTGTCCCCAAGCTCTCCAGCCTTTGGGTCAATATCTCTTTTAGTATTTAAATAAAATAACTTACTCCTTCACCTTACATAGCCTGGGAAAGTACGGAACTTTACGAGTGTTTCTGAGGATTCATTGAGCATGCTCAGTGCTGCTTACTTACTGCTCCCAGCTGCTGTGTTGATCAGTTAGAAAAAAAAGCAGCTTTATTGAAATATAATTTACATACAATAAAACTCAGTCATTTTAAGTGCACAATAATCTTTATTATATTTAGCATAGTTACAAGATGTCACAATCATTACCACCACCTAATTTTAAAACGTTCTGATCTTCTCAAAAGGAAATCTTGTGCCCATGAGAAATCGTTACCCATTTCTCCCTAGCCCCCGGCCCTGGCAATCACTAATCTACTTTCAGCCTCTGGATTTGCCTATTCGGGACTGATGCTTCCTGCTACTCTGCAACTGCTTTCAAACTGCTCCTCCTCACCTGCTCCTGCACTCCCTCGGACGTGCAAGGTGTTGCTGATAGGTCGTTGGCATTGGGGTGCCGTTGACAAGATTTACCGAATGTTTGAAGCTACTTATTACAAGGGCATTTCAGTGTAGAAAAGGAAAACTTGAGAGTCCGAATCAGAGGTCCCTGCTCTTGGCGTCTCTGAGCGCCCCTCCCCTCGGACCCTGGCTGCTGCAGGGCCCTCGCCACTCAGAACGGCCCCTTCCTGCAAATGTAAGCCCCACCCCCACTTTCCTAGTTTTTCAATATTTTGCTCAATAAGTAACTGGAAGGGCTGTAACACTGCTCTCTAACATGAAAGCAGTCGTCTTCACCACGTCCTAGGATGTTTCTGTTCCCCCAGAATTTGTATGTTGAAACCCTAACCCCCAATGGGATGGCATTTGGAGAGGGGGCCTTTGGGAGGTACTTAGGTCATGAGGGTGAAGCCCCCATAAATGGGACCAGCGCCTCTATATGATGAGGACTGTGAGCTTGCCTCGTTTCTCTGCTCTCCACCACGTCAGAATATGAAAAGGAGACGGTCATCTGAAAACCGCGAAGCTGGCTCTCAC